TTTTGACACTATTAGCTTTGCCAGGCTTCCACCCGGATTTTATCAGCCATCTGTCCTCGTCACCCTCCTTCCAGGGTTGCGGAGTGCTGCTAGGGACAATCACATCACAGGCTGTTTATCTGCACCACAAATTCAGGCCATCAGCTGGGCCACCCCTCTTTATCCTTGGCTGATTCCCTATCGGTTTCACCATAACAGCTGCTGCAGTCCACGCCCCTCCCCTGACAGCCTCCAGACCCTACCTGAGCCTCCCTCTGCCAGATGCTGCCACACCCGCGGGAACGTACACAAACCACCAGCTTGGCAGAGCCCACAGCAGACTTTCTCGACTCTTCTTACCCCCACCTTAGATTTCCTCTCACTTTCTGCTCAGGTCTCACAGGAATGAATGCAGATCTTATATCCACGTGTGTATAGAGGTGCACAGCGAAATGTGTAAAAAGAAGACGAAAATATCAACATGGTTATATCTGGAAGGGAGGCCTCTAGGTGATTTTGTGCCATTTTCTTTTGACTTTTCTGTTTTGTCTTACTGTTTTCACTGATCATATGTCATTTTTACAAAACCTGTAATACTATTTTAAAATGGAAGTTATCCTCACTAAAATGTAGGTGATCCTGAGGAGGAAGCAAACTTTAGTTTCCCTGGTATTTTCCATGACTCTTCCTCACAGGCAGATAAAGATCCCCAAAATGCACACATGATAATTCCCAGAATCTGTAAATATGTGACCTGACAATAGCAAAACAGATTCTGCATGTGTGGTTAAGTTAAGGAGCTTGAGATACGTGGGTGAGTTAAGGTAATCATATGAGTCCTTGCAAGTAAAACATGGAGGCTTAAGGGAGATGTTTCTAAAGAAGATGATCAGAGGATGCAACCTTACTGGCTTGGAATATGGAGTCAGGGCCAATGAGCCAAGGGATGCAGGCAGTTTCTAGAAGCTAGAAAAACAAGGAAGCAGATTTTCCCTGAGAGCCCCCTAAAAAAAAAAAAGCAGTTCTACCAACACATTGAGTTTAGTCTGATGAGACTCATGTTAGGTTGTGACCTCAAGAACTGCACAACTGGGCCAGGAATTTGACTCAGTGGCACTGTGCTTGCCTTGTAAGTGTAAGGTCCTAAGTTGGATCCCTGGTACAAAAAAAAAAAAAAAAAAGAACTGCACAATAATAAATTGGTGTTGCTTTAAAAGTGCCAAGCTTATGGTGATTTGTTACAGCAGCAACACAAAACTAATACAATGATTTTTTTAAAGTCATTTCAAATTAACATACGCTCTAAGTTGAAACAATGGCTTCCTTTGCAAACACAACTTCAAAACAAGCATGGTCACCACTGCCAATTTAGAGTCATGAACTTCTGGAACCAACTCTGGGATGCCCCAGAATTCAGTCTTTGTCCATCTCAGCTTTATCCCTACATTTGACATGGGGTTCTTAATTCCCAAATGTTTCCTTCCATATCTCAGTTCCAGCTTCAGGCCAGTGTTTCCAGGATAGATATCTTATAGGCACATCAACATCAATGTGCCCCAGACAAGGATCATCATCTTTACCCTTGAACCTGGTTTTCTGGTTAGGTCTCTTAGCCTCCATTACAGCTCATACACTCCTTCTCTGCCCCTAAACTTATCCCTCGTTATCCATCCATTCTATCCTTTCCATGACCCCCTTTTTTACACTCCCATCATCCTAGTCAATACCTTGGAGCTGTAACCATACCCTTAGAACCAATTCTAGGCTATCCCAAACCTCTCATATCCTCTGCTCTGTCTCAGGAATTGTCTGGCCCAAACACTCTGATCCTATTATACTTCTGGAAAACCTTTGAATGTTCTCTCTTACTTATGGAATAATGCTCAAACTTCATTCTTTTACTGAAAACCATAATCCACTCTCTAACTTCCAGCTTCACCTCTATACTCTAGGAGCCAACTATACTGGCTGAAGCATGTGCCTGGACCATGTCTTGCCTTTGTCCACTTTTGGGCCTTTGGCCTGGGATGCCCTACTCTGTTATATTTCCCTTCTTAAATCAACAATGGCTGACAATAACTGCTGCTTACCACTTACAGAGACCCTTGACTAATGATGGTTTGACTTATAATTCTTGACTTTATGATAGTGTGAAAGCAATACACATTCAGTATAAACCATACCTTGAATTTTGATTTTTTTCCCAAGGTTTAGTGATAGTGCAATATATTTTCCTGCTACACTGGGCAGTAGCAGTAAACTGCAGCTCCTACTCAGCCACCAGTCACAAGGGGAAATGCCTGACACTCTACAGTGTTCTGGTTGCTAAGCCCTGATGTTTGGTAGATTGAGTGTATTAAAGGGCAGAAAACCACTGTGTTAGATCAGACCTTCTCAACCAGGGGCAATTTTCCACTTCCGACCTTTGGGGACATGTGCAGTGTCTGCACACATTCTTGGTTGTCACAACATAGAAGAGTGCTATTGGCATCTAGTGGGGAGAGGTGAGGAATGCTGGTGAATCTACAGTACGGAGGATAGGAGGATAGGCCACCCTTCCCCAACAAAGAGTGGACCAGTCCTTCATGGCAATCACACCAAGCCTGAGAAAGCCTAAATTAGACACTGTTTCCCAGCTCCTCCCCTCCTTCTCCTGAGAACTTTAGTGCCTATTCGCTTCTCTCTTGCTGCTTAAGAGTATCCTTGAAAACAATACAGAACTCAGGTTTTGGCCTCACAGACCAAATCTAGGCACCAAGCAGCTTGGCTGCTGCCTCAGCTGGGCTGGCTCCACGCCCACTGGGGAGGGCAGGTAAGGTCTCCGGCCTCCCCACTTCCCTTTAGTTCTTTGTTAATATCCGAATTACACTTGTTACAGAAACTGTGTAAACACATCTCTCTTAGCCCCAGGGCTGGAGCTATAATTTATTCATCTCTGTTTTCCCACCATATCAAGCTCTCTGTGTTATAGTGCTCGACAGATACTTACTGCATCAAATGAATTAAAGGAGTATCATTTTAATTTTTATCATGCTTCTAGGCATCTCTTTGAAAGGTAACAGAAGTACAAATGCAAATGCCAGTTAAAGCAAGAGCCCCGTTTCTGTTTCTGTGGAGTCCAGCACAAACACCACCTCGTCTCCTTCACAGCGCACAAGAGCTGCTGTGGATCTCCACAGTCATGCTGAATTCAGGTGCTTGACAATGAATGACAGGATTTGAGGGGACTCCTGCGTAAGAGCTCTTATTTTCAAGATTCTTTTTCACTGATTAGTACAAGTGAGAAAATGGCTCATTTTCAAGGCAAAGCAGCAACTTGGAGAATGGTACTGAAAACTGCCTTGTCTTTGAAAAAATACATGCAGAGCAATGAAATATGGGGTTCCTACTTTATAGTGGACATAATTAGGCACAGGGTTTAGGAGCTAAATAAAAGACAAAGACTTATTTAGATCTAGTTTCTTTTTTTTTTTAATTTTCAAAGTTGAGAAAGTCAGCCAAGAGTTTACTCAACTTGACATTCTTAAGGAGGGCAAATTTAAACAAAAGATGTAATATTTAGGGTTAAGAGTCTAATTTAAGGTCTTCCACTCTGTTTAGAATGTGACAAGCCTCACTTGATTTCCTTGTGCCTTAGTTTCCTGACATTGTTCTTGTAAAGGGGTGCCATAGACACATTTTTAAAGCAAAAGAAAAAAAATATATTATTTTTCTGTAAATTGAGCTCTCTTTTCTTCTACTTATGGTTTAAAATAGTAGTAGGATATTGCTTGAATGTCATCCCTGGGTGAGATTTTTCATGATCATCCTCTATAAAATCCAACCCCTAATATGTCACACATTTCTCTCTGCTGTATTTCTCACAATACTAAGTATTTGCTTATTGTCTGTCTTACTCATTAGAATATAAATTCCACGAAGGCTGGGAGTCTATGCTGTTTTGTTCACCTCTCTGTTACCATCACCTGAGTGATGCTTGACATGGGGGAGTATCCAATAAATATTTCTGGTATGAAAGAATAAATTATGCAATCTAAAAATAAAATATATAAAGCCATCAAAGGGCATAAATTAGATATAACTGAATCAACATGGCTAGATCACAAAAGTGTATGTTTGAGTGAAATAAGAGAAAGTTACAGAATAATACAGAAATTTCCTCGTCTGCAAACTAGAGCTGGAAATATAGCATTGTTATGACGAGCAAATTAATTCATTGGTATTAAATGTTAAGAACAGTGATATAGGTGCTCAATAAATGATAGCTACTATCATCATCATTGTCACTGCTACATCACTGATGAAAACAGTGCACATCAAATATACTACTAATTTTACATACTGTAAACTAATTTTACATGGTTAAATAAATAATTTTAAGAGCTCTGTGAAGGGAAGAGATCTAGAATAGAATGGTCAAAGAGAGTTTTAACATTTTGTCGTAATATTGTAAATGGAGAGTTGACAGAAATTAATGGTTAGAAAAGACTTGTAATATTTCCTGAGGCATAAGGATGTTGAGAGAGAAAGGGAGACTGAGGCAGGAGCCTGAGCAATACAGGGACACCCTGTCCCAAAAGGAGAGAAAGAGAAAGAGAGAGAGAGAGAAAGAGAGAGAGAGACAGAGAAACACGAGAAACACAGAAACAGAGAGACAGATATGAACAAAGGAAAGTACAAAGATAAATTGTTTAGGAAAAGAATTTGTTTTCAATTTTATCTCTCAAGTGTTTCTGGAATGAAATCACAGCAAAGATAGGATATGCTTAGCCGGTGCTAAAAATAACCAGAGACAAGATCTACAAATATACCTGATCCTGAGTCGTAGGTGGACAACATGAATTAGTCCTCTTAGATTAGAGAAATCCATCATTAACACAATTTTAAGATTAGGATAAATTAGGGCCGGGAATTTATCTCAGTGGTTCTGCTGCCTACCTCGAAGGCTCAAGGTCTCGAGTTTGATCCCTGGTACCCACACACACACACAAAAAAGATTAGGATAAATGATTCAAACTTACTGGTGCTTTAGCCATTCTTCCACACACGGGATGGAGAAGAATTCTGTGAACGGCTCCCTTAACCTCTTTGGATTTTGGCTGGTCACGATGTTTGATTGACAAGAAAACAATAAGCAAGAATTCAAGTCAGTTGCTATTCTCCTTGTAAATTCACACAGTGGACTCCTGGGGGCCACTGAATACCGAAAGACATGAACAACTTACTTGTACAACCACTCGGTCAGAAAATCACAGGCAATGAATTTGGTTCTTTTCCTCTATAGAGAGAAGAGATAATTACATTATATTTTTACTTCACCCACATATCTGAGTAGGACAAAGGAAAAAAGGCTAATTATTAAACATGGATGAAATATGCATCAATCTATTATGACATTTATAAACATATCAATGAGGAGTAACGCAGGCAACATAAGGATTTCTGAAGAGATTTCTCCAGTCAACTTTGGATAAGCATACTTTCTAACAGTTGGGACTAATAAAAGTGCACAATAGCAAGGGTTTATACTACAGTTGTCTGGAAGGATTTTGTTATTTAAATCTAGACTATGACTCTTTTCTGAGTACTATCACGTGTGAGTCCTACTGGGATACGTGTGGTAAGTTCTGAGAAATGTATCATTAAGTGATTTCTCTCATTGGGGCAACATCATAGTCACTACTGACACAAACTAATACACTTATTACATCACTAGACAGTATAATCTTATGGGACCATTGTTGCATGTTTGGTTGGCCACTGGGGCACTGACTGCAATATCTTCATGTGGCACATGGGTGCAGCAGTGTTTATTGCTTTCCCCAGTTCACTCACATCCTTAGAGTGACAGTTCTGCAGGTCTGGATGCCACCTTCCAAGGTGGAAGCCCCCCCCCAATAAAAGCTACATTAAAAAACCCCCAAAGATAGAAGCCAAGTTCATGGTACCATGGCCATGCTGCTGACCCTGCCAGCTGTTCACCTAATATCCCTTCTCCACTTCATCCGTATTAGAGAAACCTCATTCTTCTAAGTGACAATTAATCAGCCAAAAATCTATATTTCTCAGGCTTCCAGGTAGCAAGTTCTGTTTTATGAGATAAACGTGGATGGATCCTAGAGATTTCTGAGAAAATTTTGCTTTCTTGATCTCAGTTGCTTCTAATTCTTTGAAGTCTCTTTCTAATTCTTCCAGTCTGGAACTGAATGTGGGGCTGGGAGTGGAACAGCACCATTCAGCCAAAGGCCAAAAGCCACATGGTAAGGATGGGGAAATGGGTAGAAGGAGCCAGAGCCTTTGCTGACTTCCTTAAGCCACTGTGCTAGCTAAGGCCTGCCCTTCTCTGGTTGTCTTGATCTGTAAGGAAAAATAAACTGCATCTGGTCTACTTCCACTGCTCTTAAATTTTCATTCTATGGAACTGAATGCAGTCTCTAGATGACAGACAGCTAGAAAGCCATAGGGAGAACAAGTCCCAGAGTAATGGGGGAGGTAGGCTGAAAATGGCAATGGTACAGAAGACCAGGTATCCTGTCTTCTCTTTCCATCTCAAATCTCTTCCTGTAATCCAAACAGAACTGATCAACTCCTTCTAGAAAACCGTTATGAAAACTGGGAGACAGGGTCCCTGTCTCTTCATCAAGACAGTGGGGGCTAAGAACCAAGTCAGTTGAGAGGTGTTGTTTGCTACACGGAGGAATCTTTCACAAGAATGAAGGCAGAACAAAGGGATCTGGAAATTCTCTATCCCCACAGGTCCACCTCCTCTACCCTGGCTCTGTGCCTCAGGAGGCTGATTTTAGGGTTCACATCAGCAGGTTCCCTTACCCTCTGGTTGGGTTCAGCCAGTGGGCAGAATCAGCAGGAGCTCAGAGGGAAGGGGAGAGAAAGGTAGGGTGTTATGGATTGAATTGTGTCCCCTCAAAACTCACATATAAAGTCCTAGGCCCCTTTACCTCAGAATGTGACCTTATTTGCAAATATGATGGCTACAGATATAATCATTAAGCCCCGCCACTCCTGAGGGATAAGGCAGCTCAATGTGAGTGAGCACATGTTGGTTTCTACTGGGAAGGAAGAAGGGAAATGCTGCTGGGCACTCCATGGTGGCAGGCTCCTGAGGACACTGTACTAGACCCTGGGTCGAGCTATGGAAGTCCACATTCCCTAGGCCTCTTGGATAGTTAGCCAATATATTCCCTTTTTAAAAGCAAATTGGTGCTGGGTTGTTTAGTGTTTATAACAGAGAAAGTTTCAACCACTTCCTCTCTTCTCCAATGAGCTCACTCCTGTGCACTCAAAGATGCTCCCAGGAAAACTATCTGACCATTCTTATGTCCTCCTTTTAGAGAAGACTCCCCTAGTTCTCTCTCCACTCTCATCACAGCACCTCAGGCTATAAAAGAACTACAGGCCCATGTGCCATCTCCCCTACCAAACTACAAACTCTGTGAGGACACAGCATGCATCTTTTTTCTCCTTTCTATTCCCAACATTTAACCAAGTGCTTTGTATGGGACAGGTGATGAATGAGTACTGAGTAAGTGAATGAGTTCACTATTCAACTTTAGGCATCAAAGCAAAAAAAAAAAGAACTCATGTACAAGGACGTGGACATTAAAAGGTAGGAATAGCTAGTATAATCCTGACAATTCTCTTCACTTTCTTCCTATAATACCTTATTATGAAATTTGTTTCGTTTCTTCCCCTTTACTTAGAAATAGCCAATTCAGCTTTATACTCCTGGAAAAGGTTGAAAAGACTGCTGTGAAATTGATGCTCATCAAAAAGGAAAATGCTCCTTAAGGTTTTTTCCTTTTTTAACCAAAAATTTTGTTATGGTTGCTCCTAAATAAAACACAGTAGTGCCTGAGTTGCTGGAGATTATTTGCAGTCTCTTTTTCTCAATGCTGATAGCCTTTTATGAAAAAACTGGTTAGAGTAATAAAATGAAATGTACTAGATCATGTAACTGAGGCCTGCTTTGCAAAAGCAGGACTCCTTTCAAAAAGTTATCTTTAATCAAATTAAGAAAATACTTGTACAACAATGCAAATATGTAACTATCATGACTTACTGTATAATAATTTAAACAATCCAGCAATTGTAGGATGCCAGAGTCTCTCTTGTCTCACAAAAGATGAATTGTTCCCTTGGCATTTACCACACCGTTTAGTGGTAAAGATTTCTTCTACAAAGGGAATGCAGCCTGGCATACTCTCTATTAAATAGACTTTAAAAATAGCCAAATGGTCTGATGTATGAAGGTCATGCAGACAGATTTAATCACTTTGGATGCAAAGAAATAAAAAGGAAGAAATTGTGTTTCCTTCTCTTCTGGACAAGCGTGGACGTGCCATGCATACCCAGACGTGCAGAACAGTGGGGGTATTGTTCAGCTGTTGTTTAGTTTAAAAATTATCTGCTAGGGAGCTGCAAGAGAAAAGGGAAAGCAAATGAAAGTTGTGCTGAGTGAAGAGATAAGAGAGGAAGTAAATAGAGGAAAAAACTCAAGAGCAAGATTACGAAAGTGTGGGCACCCGGGGTTTTTGTAACATGGACAAATACACTGAATCCTTGATTGTTAAAATGTGCAAGTTTGGGCAAGGAGAGGAAACAGAGTGACCTCAAATAAGATTTTAAAATATTTTTTTAAAAATCTAAAGTTTAATGAAGAAAAAACCTAAATGTTAAAGCACAGGACATTATGTCATCATAAGTCTACAACTTACTTTGAAATGCATCCAAAAAACCCAAGATGGATGGAAGAATGGGTTGACAGAATGGACAGATATGGTGTAAATAAAGCAAAAGGATAATTATGAAGTCTGGGCGATAGATATGTGGGCATTCGCCCTGAAATTCTTTCAGTTCTCCTCTATGTTTGAGAAAAATCTACAATAAAATAGAAGGGGACATATCATAAAAGACTGAAACTTCAGAGACAAAAGGCAGCAATTAGTACTATGGCTCAATCCAGACAGTATTTTGTACCGATTTTTATGTTGGATAAACACATAAGAGATAGACTGAATAGCTAAAGACTGGGAAGAGAAACAATTTGAAAGCAGAACAATTCTACCCCCAAATATCAAAAGTTCATGCTGTGAGCTGAATGGATTGAAGCATGGCTGGCTATGGTATTGTGTTGGTGGAGACTTTTTAGGCTTGCCAGGAATAGACATCTGTTCGGGTTACCTTGTGTCATACTCCATTCAGGTTGTTATAACAAGAATACCATAGACTGGTCCAAACATTTATTCCTCACAAGTTCAAGATCAAGGTGCTGGCATATTTGGTGCCTACAGAGTGCCCATTCCTCAAAGATGGTAGCTTCTAGTTGTGCCCTCAGATGGAGCATGGGTCAAACAGGCTCCCCTGGACCTTTTTTTTTTTTTTTTGGTACCAGGGATGGAACTCGGGTCCTTGTGCTTGTGCAGCAGGCGGTGAAAACAGAGCTAAATCCCCGGCCCGGCCCCTGGGCCTTTTATAAGATCACAAAACCCATTCATGAAAACTCATGATCTAATGACTTTCCAAAGGTCACACATCCCAATATCATCACATTAGTGACTAGGGGACAAAGAATTTAGACTGTGACACCTTGGTTACTGGGAATTTTAGATCAGATTGGGCTAGATTTTTCTGGGATGGCACCTGACCTCCCAATCTCAGTGGCTAACATCATCAGTGGTTTATTTCTCACCCAGGTTGCATGACCATCCTGATCCATGATGGCTGCCTCTTCTGTGTTGCCTGCAGTCTGGCAACTCAGGCAGACAGAGCGGCCACCATCTGAAATATGTTAGTTACCATGGAAACAAGTAACAGTGAACAGCATATGTCATGTCTTCTGGTTTCACTGACCAAAGCAGTCATGTGGTCAAGCCTTCCATAGAAAGAGGTCCCAAATATTTTTGAACCATTATGTATTCTATCACAGAAGGTTACTGTGAGGGCAGAAAGGGTGATGAGGAACATAATCTTGTGCCTGGTGTCAGAGTCAGCTCTCTGGCATGGCTGGACCACTGCTCATGGCCATTTAGGGCCCAGGAGAGGCTTCGGCCATCCGACAACACTTCTGGTTCTGGTTCTACGTGCCACTGGGCTCCTTGGCTGCGGCTTCTTTCTCTGCTTGCAGCTTTTTTTCCTGCTGTTATTTCCTAGTTGGTTCTTTTTCCTCTCCACTCTCAAGGGATCTGCTAACTTGTCATTTTTAAAGCTTTCTCTTTGTCCCTGGATGTCTTTCCCCTTCTACCAAGTGCAGTTTGCCGGTTC